CACAGGGCCTGGAAACACACTGCCTAGTGCTACCTTCCAGGAGTTCTGGGGTGGCACCCGCATCCCTTTGCTAACAGTTTGTGACCCCATAAGGACAGAGCTTGTTTTTTGAGACAGAGTCTCACTTTGTTGGCCAGGGTGGTATGCAGTGGTACGATCTTGACTCACTGCAACCTCTGCCTGCCAGGTCCCAGAGATTCTCATGCCTCAGCCTCCTGAGTAGCTGGGACTACAGGTACATGCCACCATGTCCACCTAATTTTTTTTATATTTTTTAGTAGGGGCAGGGTTTCACTATGTTGTCAAAGCTGGTCTCAAACTCCTGGCGTCAAGTGATCCTCTGCCTTGGCCTCCCAAAGTGCTGGGATTACAGGTGTGAGCCAGCACACCTGGCCTCACAGCAGAGATTTTTTTTACTGTTATACCCCTGCCCTCTGCCCCACAGCTGGCTGGCAGTAAATAACTGCTGAGTGAATGAGTTGGCAAGCTGGCTTCTGGGGTCCCACACACCCCTCATTTCTCTCTTGCCACAGTGAGCCTCCCAAGGGCATCTAGGTCATTCCGTAGGTCATCAGACTGGATGCAGGCACACACTGACCGCCCTCACAAGCAAAACTCTATGCTGGTGACCCTCAAAGATCCCCATCCAGGCCCCCTGAGGCACTTACTCGCCAGGATGTGGGGGCTGAGGGCTGGCCACCTGATTCTGCTTGGCTTTCTGTTCCATTTTGGCTTCAATTTCCCGTTTCTTCTGAGCGATAAGCTCTTCCTGGTGAAGGATGTTCATGTTCATTTTTCCAGATTTAGGGGGAGCAACCCCAAACCACCGGTTAGCCTTTCCTGGGGAGGGAAAGGAGTATATCAGAAATCACCTTTGCTCCACAAACACCCCAAGAAGCTATGACAGGTCAGATGGCAAGATTAATTCACACATCCATTGGTTCATTTATTCAGCAGACACTTACAGAGTGCCTGCTGTGTACTGTCCCTGTACTTACCAGGTGCTACACAAGAAAGCGCAGGTCATTGCCCACGTGGGACTCACTTTGGGCTGGGAAGGCAACAGACCCATAAAAAAAAAGTAACTGCACAGCCAGGTGCGGTGGCTCACACCTGTAATCCCAGCACTTTGGGAGGCTGAGACGGGTGGATGACGAGGTCAAGAGATTGAGATCATCCTGGCCAACACGGTGAAACCTCATCTCCACTAAAAATACAAAAATGAGCTGGATGTGGTGGTGCATGCCTTTAATCCCAGCTACTTGGGAGGCTGAGGCAGGAGAATCACTTGAACCAGGGAGTCAGAGGTTGCAGTGAACTGAGATGGTGCCACTGTACTCCAGCCTGTGACTCCGAGACTCCGTCTCAAAAAAAATTTTTTTTAAAGTAACTGCATAATGTGGTAAGAACTCTGCTGGAAACTAAAAACGGTGAAACATAGTCACAGAAGAGTACGTATGCAGAGAGGGCAGCCAGAAGATAAACACTAGAGGAGGAGACATTTAAACCAGAAAAAGCGAATAAGCCAGGACCGTGAAAAGCCAAATGGGAGACGATCTGGGCGGAGGAAGGAGCAGATGCCAAAGCCCAAGGCAGGAAGAAACCTGGTACATCCAAGGAGCAGCAAGTGCCCAGCATGGAGAGAGGGGCCTGCTCCAGGGACAGGCAGAGGTGGGGCATGTCAGAGCATATGTGCTTTATTATAAGCACTTTGGGGAGTGATCGGGAAACACTAAGATGAAGATTGACAAGATCCATTGGATCTTTTTTTTTTTTTTGAGACAGGGTCTGGCTCTGTTTCCCAGGCTGGAGTACAGTGGTGTGATTTCAGCTCACCGCAGCCTCTGCCTCCCCAGCTCAAGCGATCCTCCTACTTCAGCCTCCTGAATAGCTGGGATTACAGGCATGTACCACCTCACTTGGCTAATGTTTAAATTTTTTCATACAGATGAGGTCTTGCTATAGTGCCCTGGCTGGTCTCAAACAATCTTCCCACCTTGGTCTCCCAAAGTGCTGGGATTACAGGCATGAGCTACGGTGTCCCTAGTTGGCCTTTTTGAGACAAAGTCTCACTCTGTCACTCAAGCTGGAGGGCAGTGGCACCATCTCAGCTCACTGCAACCCCCATTTCCCAGGTTGAAGCAATTCTCCTGCCTCAGCTTCCCAAGTAGCTGGGATTAAAGGTGCCCATCACCATACCTCACTAATTTTTATATTTTTAGTAGAGACAGGGTTTCACCATGTTGTCCAGGCTGGTCTCGAACTCCTGACCTCAAGTGACCTGCCCACCTCAGCCTCCCAAAGTGCTAGGATTACAGGTGTGAGCTACCGAACCCAGCGTTTTTGTTGTTGTTTTGAGACAGGGTCTCCGAGTTGCCCAGGCTGGAGTGCAGCTGCGTGATAGTTCACTGCACCTTCAAACTCTTGGGCGCTACAGATTCTCCCACCTCAGCCACCTGGTTGGCTGGGACTACAGGCACACTCTACCAGGCCTGGTTATTTTCTTTTTTTTTTTGAGAGGGAGTTTCACTCTTGCTACCCAGGCTGGAGTGCAATGGCGCGATCTCGGCTCACCGCAACCTCCGCCTCCTGGGTTCAGGCAATTCTCCTGCATCAGTCTCCTGAGTAGCTGGGATTACAGGCACGCGCCACCACGCCCAGCTAATTTTTTGTATTTTTTAGTAAAGATGGGATTTCACCATGTTGACCAGGATGGTCTCGATCTCTTGACCTCATGATCCACCCGCCTCGGCCTCTCGAAGTGCTGGGATTACAGGCTTGAGCCACCGCGCCCGGCCCATTTTCTTTTATTTTTTGTAGAGACAGGTTCTTGCTATGTTGCCTAGGTAGTCTTCAACTCCTGTCCTCAAGGGAGCCTCTCATGGAAGCCTCCCAAAGTGCTGGGATTTTAGGTGTGGATCACCACATCTGGTCAATATCCACAGGGTCTTTCTATTTTCATCCTGGCTGCTAGGTAATCATTCTGGCCAGAAAATGCACAAGCAGCAAGACCAGGGAGGCCCACTGGTTCCAAGCAACAAACAATGACGTCTTCAGACTAGGGTAACAGCATGGAGACAGGGAAGACACCTCAGAGGTTCCCCATGGGACTCAGAATAAAATCCAAATTCTTAAAGTCTGAGCAAGGCACAGTGACTCACGCCTGTAACCCCAACAATTTGGGAGAACGAGGCAGGCAGATTACTTGAGGTCAGGAGTTTGAGACCAGCCTGGCCAACATGGTGAAACCCCATCTCTACTAAAAATACAAAAAATGTGGCGGGTGCAGGGGCAAGCGCCTGTAATCCCAGCTACTCACGAGGCTGAGGCAGGAGAATGGCTTGACCCGGGGAGGCAGAGGTTGGAGAGAGCCAACATGGCACCACTGAACTCCAGCCTGGGAGACAAAGCAAAAAGTGGGGTGGGGGGGGCAGAGAATTCTAAAAGTTCATTTTCAAGGCCCTGCCACATGGTTCCCCTCCCCACTTCTGCTTCATCCTTGACAGTCTTCAAAAGGACAAGCCCATCCTACCATGGCCTTTGCATTTACTGGTCCCCCCTCTGCATGGAAGGCTCCACTCTCCAGGTATTCCCATTGCTGGCAATCATTGTCTCAACTCAAAGGTCTTCTACTTGAAAAGGATTTTCTTTGGGCCAAGTGTGGTGGCTCAACACTTTATTTAATCCCAGCACTTGGGACGGTGAGGTGGAAGGATCCCTTGAGCCTAGGAGTTCCAGACCAGCATGAGAAACATGGCAAAACAATACATACACAAATTAGCTGTGTGTGGTGGTGCACACCTGTTTTCCCAGCTACTCGGGAGGCTAAGGTGGATCACCTGAATCCGGGGAGCCGCAGTGAGCCATGATTGTGCTACTGCACTCCAGCCTGGGCGACAGAGACCCTGTCTCCAAAAAAAAAAAAAAAAAAAAGAAAAGAAAAGGTCTTTCCTGACTACCCAGTATCAGCAGCCTCCACCCCTCCACCTCACATAATAAGTCAGTCTTTGTAAATATTTACTCATTAGTGCACTGACACCCCAGTAGAAAGAACCCTCCAGAAAGTCAGGGCCTTGTTTCGGTCACTCCTGCATGCGCAGCGCCTAGCACAGTGCTGGCACACAATAAGCACACTCTAAGTATTTGGTGATGAGCGAATGCATTCTATTCTGGTTAAGTAGGAAGGCCGAGGCTTGCAGCAAAGTGAGGGTCAAAAGACGCGGGAAAGTGTGTTAAGGGAGCCTCGGAGCACTTCGGAAAAGCAGCTTTTCCAGAAAGCGGGACACAGGCCAGAGGGCAGCTGCTACGAAAAGAGGGGTGCAGGACAGCCCAAGGTTGCTGCTGCATCGGGGAATGGAGCTTGGAACAACCCCGAAGGCGGTTGTTTCGGAAACGGGACGCAGGGCCAAGCCGGGTGGCGGCCTCTACGGAGATCCGTGCGTCCTCAATAAACCGGGGGGGCCGCCAGCAACCTGGGTCTGGGGTCTCGGGAAACCAGGAGGTGCAGAAGCCGATGCTTTAGGCTGCCCAGGGGCTGAGGCGAGGGGTCCACGGGTCGCAGTAGGACTGACTCGAGGAGTAATGGGAGACACATAACCCCGGGACCCAGGCGGGTTCCTGAGGGGAGGCAGGGGCTGTTACCTGCAACATCCCGGTTGTCCATCTTGAGACTCATCCAATCCCACAATGCTCCAGTGCCACTTAAGGGGCCCTGTTATAGTGCGCATCGCCTGATGGGAGATGTAGTTCGCGTGGGTCAGACTCGCCCTATCACGTCGTGGATTATTGGGATTTTTTACCTCAAGAAACAAAAGCCTCAGCCTATCGGCGATGCCTAAGTCTCAGTCGTGATAAGCAGATGGTATCGCCCTTTTTACACCTTCCCGAAGAGGCGGCATCCCGATTACAAACTACATGTTCCAGGATGCTTTGGGCGGCAGATCTCGCGAAAGCCGGGAGGAGCGCCGGGTCCCGCCCCGCGCGCCTTCTTCCGCCTCCCTGTGGCGGCGTCTTGTTGTTGTGGAGGCCAAAATGGCGGCTCAGGCGGCGGCAGCGGCCCAGGCTGCGGCGGCCCAGGCTGCGCAGGCCGAGGCGGCCGACTCGTGGTACCTGGCGCTTCTGGGCTTCGCTGAGCACTTCCGCACTTCCAGCCCGCCCAAAATCCGCCTGTGCGTACACTGCCTGCAGGCCGTGTTTCCCTTCAAGCCGCCGCAGCGCATTGAGGCCCGTACGCACCTGCAGCTGGGCTCCGTTCTCTACCACCACACCAAGAACAGCGAGCAGGCGCGCAGCCACCTGGAGAAGGCGGTGAGCGCGGGCCGGGCCTCGAGGGAGGAGTCGCGGGTTCCTTGCAAGACCTGGGATGACCGGTCGCGACCGCGGCGGGCGAAGGTCGCTCCTCGGCGACCTGGGGGCGAGACCTCCGTCAAAGCCACAGGACCTTCGCCCGCCTCTGCCGGACCCCAAAGCTTCCAGCTTCTCAGGGGACACAAAAGTCCTCGCCCCCCACGCTTTATTCTCCGTCTCTGGTGACAGGGCTCCAGGAGCCTAGTCACTGTACTCCGAAAGTTGCCTGTTCTTGGGAGGAACAGGATCCGCAAATTGTCTGGTTTTCAGATGATTCCACATGTTGGTGGCGATGGGGACATCACTGGGTCCTGCAGCTACCAGCGCCTCCTAGTTTAGCTTCGGGAGCATCAGCCCCAAACGCTTCCGCCTAAAGTGACTTGGGGTAGGGGTTGGCGGAGGCGAGACCCCTGACTTCTCCCCGGGAATCTCAAGTCTGGTGTCTCAGGAACCGGGAAGGGCATCCTCCTCCTTGGACGTGGAAGTTTGGTACTGGTTTCTGGAGAGCCTTGTGTCCTCATCAATAATTCCTCGTGTCATAGGAGGGAAGCTGAGACCCAAAGTGTGAAGTGGGTCATTTGAGGCCTATGAGGAGGAGAAACGGGTTCTGGTTCAGTTTCAGTATTAGGGGATCTTGCAGCTTTTGCTTTTTTTCTCTATCTACTGGTGACTTGTACCATCCAGTAGTCCATCCTCTTCTGAGTGAGTTCCCTCCCCTGTCCCAATTTGACTTCTGTGTCATCTTGGTGCGTCAAAGAATGCGGGAGAGTGGCTGTCATTCTTCCCTTTAAGAAACTTTCTAGGGCCAGGCTCAGTGGCTTCTGCCTGTAATCCCAGCATTTTGGGAGGTGGAGGCAGGCAGATCACTAGAACCCAGGAGTTTGAGACAAGCCTGGGCACCACAGTGAGACAACGTTTTTTTTTTGTTTTTGTTTTTTTTTTTGAGACGGAGTTTCGCTCTTGTTACCCAGGCTGGAGTGCAATGGCGCGATCTCGGCTCACCACAACCTCCGCCTCCTGGGTTCAAGCAATTCTCCTGCCTCAGCCTCCTGAGTAGCTGGGATTACAGGCACGCACCACCATGCCCAGCTAGTTTTTTTTTTTAGTATTTTTAGTAGAGACGGGGTTTCACCTTGTTGACCAGGATGGTCTCGATCTCTTGACCTCGTGATCCACCCGCCTCGGCCTCCCAAAGTGCTGGGATTACAGGCTTGAGCCACCGCGCCCGACCGAGACAACGTTTCTACAAAAAATTAGGCGGGCGTGGTCGCATGGCCTTGTATAGTCCCATCTACTCCAGAGGCTGAGGTGGGAGGATCAACTAAGCCCAGGGAGGTCAAGGCTGCAGTGAGCAATGATTTCGAGACTGCCCTCCAGCCCAGGTGACAGAGTGAAACCTTGTCTCAGAAGAAAAAAAAAAAAAAGGAAAAAAATAAAATTACAGGCTGTGGAGGCGTTTTTTCTCACAGCAATGCTGCTTCTGTCAGACCCCTGCCTCCCTTTTGCCATTTACCCAGTTCTGTCGTGCTTGAATAGAGAATTCTTGAAAAGAATCAACTCAGATTTTAAAAACTCATTAATCTGAGGTAAATCCAAGCTCACCCTCAGCTAGTAACAAGTTGCCTTAAGGAGTAGGTCAAATCTTTGTTTCACAGACTGTAAAAAGTTGGAAGGAGACTTTATTTTATTTATTTTGAGACAGTTTTGCTCTTGTTGCCCAGGCTGGAGCGCAGTGGCACAATCTCAGCTTACAGGAACCTCTGCCTCCCGGATTCAAGCGATTCTCCTGCTTCAGGCTGCTGAGTAGCTGGGATTGCAGGAACCCGCCACCACACCTGGCTAATTTTAAAAATATTTTTAGTAGACATGGGGTGTCACCATGTTGGCCAGGCTGGTTTCGAACTCCTAACCTTAATTGATCTGCCTGTCTCGGCTTCCCAAAGTGCTGGGATTACAGGCATGAGCCACCGTGCCCAACCAATTTTATTTATTTATTTTTTTTGTGACAGAGTCTCACTCTGTCACCCACGCTGAAGTGTACTGGCATGATCTCAGCTCACTGTAGCCCTGATCATCTGGGCTCAAGCAGTCCTCCCACCTCAGCTTCCCATGTAGCTGGGACCATCACACCCAGCTAACTTTTGTGGGGTTGTTTTTTTTTGGGGGGGGGGCAGAGTCTTGCTCTGTTCCCCAGGCTGGAGTGCAGTGGCATGATCTCCACTCACTGCAACTTCCACCTCCCTTCTGGTTCAAGCAATTCTCCTGCCTCAGCCTCCTGAGGAGCTGGGATTACAGGCGCCTGCCACCACCCCCAGCTAATTTTTGCATTTTTTGTAGAGATGAGGTTTCACCATGTTGGCCAGGCTAGTCTCGAACTCCTGATCTCGGGTGATCCACCCGCCTTGGCCTCCCAAAGTGCTGGCATTACAGGTGTGAGCCACCGCACTCAGCCAATTTTTGTGTTTTTTGTAAAGACAGGATCTTGCCACATTGCCTAGGCTGGGTCTTGAACTCCTGAGCTTAAGCCATCCACCTGCCTCGGGCTCCTAAAGTGCTGGAACTACAGGCTTGAGCCATCATGCTGGGCCTGGAAGGCGACTTTAGTCCTCACTTGATCAACTGCCTTGTTTCAGAAATGAGGCAGTATGGCCCTAGAGGGGTGAAGTGATTTGCCCAAGGCTGCACAACAGGTTATTAACAAAACTGGGGCTGGGCGTGGTGGCTCAAGCCTGTAATCCCAGCACTTTGGGAGGCCGAGGCGGGTGGATCACGAGATCGAGAGATCGAGACCATCCTTCTCAACATGGTGAAACCCTGTCTCTACTAAAAATACGAAAAATTAGCTGGGCATGGTGGCACATGCCTGTAATCCCAGCTACTCAGGAGGCTGAGGCAGGAGAATTGCCTGAACCCAGGAGGCAGAGGTTTTGGTGAGCCGAGATCGCGCCATTGCACTCCAGCCTGGGTAACAAGAGTGAAACTCCATCTCAAAAAAAAAAAAAAAAACTGGGCTCAAACCTGGCTCAGCGATAACCAGGTTACATGCCAAGATCTTACATCATTGTTGTATTGGTGAAGTTTTTTTTCTTTGATTCATTCAGCAGATACTTGTTCAGCTCATGCGGGATGCCAAGCCATGTTTTAGTTTAGGTGCTGGGGAATCTGCAATGGCTAAAAGTCTCTGCCCACATAAACCTAGGTTTTCGTGAGGAAGACAAACAATAAGCATGTAGTAAGAGGTTAGGCAGTGATGGAAGAACCGTGAAAACTGGACCAGGGAGAAGCGATGGGAGTTGACTGGGAGCTATTTTTGGCAGGGGTAGTGAGGGAGTCTCTATTTGTGGGAGTGATATTTGAGCAGAGGCCTGACTGGGTGGGGCAAGGAGCCTGAAGAATGCTCAGGGATCAGGTTGATGGCAAGGAATGATCAGTGCCCGAGCTGTTGGGGACCGGCAGTCATTATCATGGTCTCTCCGGGATAAGGATGAGGCCGAGATCAAATGAGGCACCAGGCTTTATTGACTAGGAGGCATCTGGTGGCCCAGCATCTCCAGTGGATGTGCTGGTTCGGAAACTCTCCCTTCTTTCCATTAACAGCTCCCGCCACCTGCCTTCTCTTGTCTCCCAGGGCTGTTCAGCCTGTTTCTGGCAGTGGCTAATAGTCACTGTGTGTACCGTAGTGTTTCGCCTACTCAGCCTTGTCTAGGAGAAGCAGTCATGCTGCAGATTGCTCTTTTTGCCACTTGGTTTTTGGACCCATAATTTAAGCCCTTCTCCTGGTAAAGTGCCTTTGCTCTATTTAGTGGAACTCTGGATCTTGAGGGGTCTTCGCTGAGCCACACAGTGCCCTCTGTAGCTCACACCAGCTTTATTCCTGGAAATCCTGTTGTTTGCGGTTTCCTGGTTTCTGGTTCTGAAAAGCAAATGGCTGAAGAGGTTCCAGTGTCTTCTCAGAGAGCCAACCCAGTGTAACAGTATTTTGCGGTATTCTGGGACTTTTCTCCTTGCACATTCTGCTGTTCTTTTTCTTTCATTCATTCATTCATTCGTTCATTCATTCATTTTGAGACAGAGTCTTATTCTTTGTCACCCAGGCTAGAGTGCAGTGGCACAATCTTGACTCACTGAAACCTCTGCCTCCCAGGTTCAAGCAATTCTCCTGTCTCAGCCTCATGAGCAGCTGAGATTAGTAGGCGCCCACCACTATGCCCAGGTAATTTTTGTATTTTTAGTAGAGACAGATTTCTCCATGTCGGTCAGGCTGACCTCAAACTCCTAACTTCAGGTGATCCACTTGCCTCAGCCTCCCAAAGTGCTGGGATTACAGGTGTGAGCCACCACTCCCAGCCTTTTGTGGGGGGAGGGGAGGGGAGGAAGTCTCACTCTGTTGCCCAGGCTGGATTGCAATGGCGTGATTTCAGCTCACTGCAACCTCTGCCTCTCAGATTCAAACGACTCTCCTGCCACAGCCTCCTGAGTAGCTGGGATTATAGGCACGCACCACCACACCTGGCTAATTTTGTATTTTTAGAGATAGGGTTTCATCATGTTGGTCAGACTGGTCTTGAACTCCTGACCTCAGGTGGTCCACCTGCCTCCGCCTCCCAAAGTGCTGGGATTACAGGCATGAATGAGCTACCATGCCCAGCCTTATTTTTATTTTTTTGAGACAGTCTTGCTATGTCGCCCACCCTGGAGTGTAGTTGGTGTTACCTCAGCTCACCACAACCTCCACCTTCAAGGTTCAAGCAATTCTTATGCCTCAGCCTCCCAAGTACCTGGAATTACAGGTATGAGCCATCATGCTCGGCTAACTTTTGTGTTTCTGGTAGGCTTGGCCAGGCTGGTCTCAAAGTGACCTGAAGTGATCCACCCACCTTGGCTTCCCAAAGTGCCGGCATTACAGGGGTGAACCCTCGTGCCAGGCATCTCTGTTCTTCTTTACTGAAGTAATTTTCTCT